TGGATCCGGTGAGCAGACCCCTGGTGTCAGGAATTCCCTGAGCTGGGCCGAAGAACTGGAACCGGAAACAGCCCCTGGCCTACCTGGGCCGGTGGATGGAGGTGGGATTGGGCTGGTGGATGGAGGCAGAACTATTACCAGGGCCTGGGCAATGTCCAGGTGTGTTGGATCCTGCTGCGGAGCTCGGATCCGGTGAGCAGACCCCTGGTGTCAGATGTTTCCCAGCAGAGCCGCAGAAGCAGAACCCGAGACTGAGTTCTTGCTAACTATCCAGTAATACAAAGTCACTTGCTTTATTGATTGATTAGCTTGGCATTTATACATGTAACTCTGAATGTAGTTACACTGTGAATTAATTTGTGTTTGATCTCAAAATATTTTCTCAAACATTGACTTCAGTGACATGAAGGAACCTATCAAGATTTCTAGATTCTATTTGTTTATTGTTGGTGCTGAAGATTGAACCGAGATCCTCACAAATGATCTACTTCACCATCCTTTGGTGTCAGTCTTAATATTTTTCAAATACACAGTAGGTTTACCACTTAAATGTTGAAAGCTTGACATACTATTGTGCTGCTGTATTGCAATGTTGTCTTTTCTGATCACATCTGCTTCCTGATGTTATGGTATCCCTGTAAAACATGGACTGGTGTTATACCAACATATTTTTGGAGTCAGGAATTTTGAGTCTCCCCATGACATTGTTCACACAAAGAGTAAAATTGACAAGTGAAGACAAGCTTGAAGTTATTTGTCATGCATTTAGAATGCATGTACTTGAGTCTTTGGCCTCCAGTTACTTTGGCTTGATCTCTAGTTTTTCCAGAAGAAAGTAAGACACGTAACAGAAATAACTGATTTTATTTCTATTTTTTTTTAAAAATTAATTATTTGACAGTTCTGTAACATTGCTCCAGACCCCAGTACAACAGATTCCATGATCATTTAGGTTGTAAAACTCAGCATGCAGACAGTATCACCTGCCAAAAAGAAAACAAAGCCCTAATCCATCGAAGTCCATAGTTTCTAGGGAAGTCTCTAAGTGTGCTAACCTTGCTTTTTAGCTTCTGTAGTTCCACTTCTGGCTAACTGTTCTTGTTAACTGAAGTATGCCAGACCAAAACATGGTTTTTTTTTTGAGCTTAAAAGCTCACCCTGAGAAAGGCTTGGGGGCTACACTTCGATCCTGAACATCCAGTGTAGTTGGCGGCTGGCTAATAAAGACTTTCTATTGGCTTAAACTGGTATCTAAGCAGTCTTCTCTGGCAAATACCGCACAACAAATTCCACTCACATATTTGTTGTATTTTGATCACATTCATCTTTATTACTCTTTCTTATCCTCCCACTATCTCTGAACTGATTCTTTTACTGTCCTATTTTCTGAGCTTAATCAGGGGCTGCTTGCATGGAGATGAATGGGACTATTCATTTGAGAATGGGCAGCTCGCCAATGGCTACATCACTGAAGAAAATGATTCTTTCTCCCAGCAGCCATGAACTGCCAATAGCTATCCAGATAAAGGTTGAGCCTCATGACCCTTTCTCCCATTCATGATGGAGTTTTGTTGTGCTTGATCTTCTGCAGGCACCCACAGCTGAGCCTGTGGGTTCAACGGTTCTGTCACATCCAGAAACAGCATTTCACAGCACTCTTTCCCATTCTCTAGCTCTTATGTTTTTCCAGTTCCTCTCCCATGTTCTCAAAGCCTTGCATGGGGTGGTGGTGGTGATATAGATGTCCTGTTTAGAATTGAACTCTCAACAGTTAATTATTCTGAGTGCTTTGACCAATTATGAATCTTTGTATTAACTGCTGCAAGTAGCAGTTTGTTTGACCAAGGGTGAGAGCAGCCCTAATCTATAGGTATAAACATAGATATTGAGCAGTCAGTTTGATGACATTCCCATTTAGCAAAATAACAGTAGTAGATTAGTAGATCCAGGGTCTGTGATTTTCCCAGCTTTAGGCTAGGTTTACAGTACCAGCTATTAGTTCCTTCCTGTGGAGCAGGCCTCAAATCCAGTCAGAAATTAATCCCATAGGAGCCATGCCACCATTGCACCAGTTGGCATGATGACTTTATTTTATTAATTTAAATACTTATGTGAGTTTTAAATTTTGTGTGTGCATGTGTGCCTGGGCATGGGTAGAGTGTGAGACCAGAAGAGGATGTCATATTCCCCCGGAGCTTGAGTTACAGGTGATGTGAGCCACCCAAGATGGGTGCTGGCAACCAAACTCACTTTCTTTGCAAGAGCAGCAAGCGCTCTTAACCACTGAGCCATCTCTCCAGCCCAATGTCTTAATTTTTAAGGACAGATTTTAGGACACTTTGCCATCAATGTTTTTTTTAAAAACTTTTTATTGATTCTTTGTGAATTTCACATCATGTGCCCTAATTCCACTCATCTCTTTGTCCCTCTGTATCTGCCCTTCACCCTCAAAAACTCCCCACACAAAGAAAACAAAACAAAGCGAAGAAAAACAACAACAACAACAACAACAACAACAACAACAACAACAAAATCTTGCTGTGGAAGCTTTGCTGTGTCACATGGTACACCCTTTTGCCCAAACAACTTTATTTGCAAATGTTCATTGCAATGAGTTCATGGCCTCTGGCTTCTCTTACACTGTCAACACTGGCTCCTCACTGGAACTTCTCTTGGATATACTGTTGTTACCCTGTGTCATGGAGACCCTGCAGCTTTAGTTCTGCAGGGCTGGCCCTCTCACATGCTCCAGCAGTTCCTAGATAGGGTAGGTATTGGGTTGGGCCAACTCAAAGCCCTTGATCTGGGCCTGGATGGTAGCTGTATTGATCAGCCTGCCTGCTCTCCTGCTCCTGTGCCATCAGGAACAGCTCTCCTGCTTGCCCAGATGAGGGGCAGGACCAGTTCTCCAACAGCCAGCAGTATTTTTATTTGGGAAAAAAATGAATTTGGCTCCTAGTGATTAGGAATGAGGAACAAGTACAAACAGAAAGAATATCATGGGATTCATAATCTATTTACTCCAGTAAAAAGATGACTTCTTGAGTGTCATATGACAGATTGTCACAAGGTCTATAATAACTATGGTAACTGGGTGTGGTTGTTTGAATGAAAATGGCTCACAAAGGCTCATTAGGAGGTGTGGCTTTGTTGGAGGAAGTGTGTCATTGGGGGTGGGCTTTGAGGTTTTGGAAGCTCAAGTCAGGCCCGGTGTCACTCTATTCCTGTTGCTTTCATATACTCAAGTAGAACTCTCAGCCACTTCTCCAGTACCATATCTACCTGAATGCCTCCATGCTTCCTGCCATGATGACAACAGACTACACCTCTGAACTGTAAACCAGCCCCCATTAAGAGTTTTCCTTTATAAGAGTTGTCATGGTAATGGTGTCTCTTCATAACAATAAAAACTCAATTATGACACTGAGCATGATTGTAGTAGTCTTTCTTTAGGCTGCCAACGGCTCCAAAATCATGACTTATTATCAGTTATGAATGCTCAGCCTTTGCTTAAGCTCATTTCTCCCTAGCTCTTATAACTTAAATTAACCTGTTAAATTAACTTAAATTCTCTTCATCTACATTTTGCCTTGGGGCTTTTTAACTTTCTTTCATTTTGTGTGTCCTACTCTGTGTCTGTCTGTCTGGTGGCTGTCTGTCTGTCTGTCCCCAGGCATCTCCCTCTCTTTCTCCCTTGTTCTCTCCTCTCTTTTCCTCTGAACCTAGATTCCTCCTTCTTCTTATTCTCTCTGCCCATTAGCCCTGCCTATCCCTCTGATGTCTAGCTATTGGCACCAATCAGGCAAAACGAAATAGCTACACACCTTTACAAAATTAAATAAATGCAGCATAAACAAATGTAACACACCCTTACATAGTTAAAGTAATATTCCACAACACATGGTGGTGGCTTATGCTTGTAATCATAGCACTGGAGAGACTAAAGCTGGTGGATTGCTGTTTGTAGTTTCAAACTTTCTGTTTCCAAGGCTGGCCTTGAACTCCTAATCCTCATGCTTGGTCTCTTGAGTGCTATGATCATAGGCCTGCACAATCATGCTTGGACAAAATTTAAATTTAATTGTGATATAAATGAGGAGTAAAAGGAGAAGTGAGTAGTTAGAATCAGTTTGGTTATGTAAGCTTATGGGGAGGCTGAGTAACAGGAAGGAGTTGTTAATGATTATCCTTCTTAGATTTTTGTTGCTGTGATAAAAGACTAACCAAAAGCAACTTGGAGGAGGAAAGAATCTATTTGGCTTACAGCCTGTAGTCCATCATCAAGGGAAGCTAAGGCAGAAACTCATGGCAGGAACCTGGAGGCAAAGACCAGAAGCAGAGACTATATAGGGGAGTGCTGCTTACTGGCTAGCTCAGCAACCTTCCTTATACTACTCACGGCCACTTGCTCAGGGGTAGCACTGCCTACAGTGGGCTAGGCCCTCATCTACCAATTAGCAATCAAGAAAATGTCTACAGACATGTCCACAGGTCAATCTGATAGATACAAGTCTTCAATAAGGTTCTTTTATCTGGGGTGTGTCAAGTTGACAACCAAAATTAACTACCAAAAAATTCATGATATTCAAGTTAAACTGCTTGGGAGTATATGCGGACAAGCAAAAACCACAGAATTTGGAGAGGCCTGAGTAAAAGCAAGTTAGTGAAAACAGGAGTTTGGCTAATATCCTTTTATTTTTCCTTTCAAGGTTTCTGGCATAATGATGTACTTGCTAAGATGTAGCTATGTAAGTGTCTGCCTCAGCCTGTAACAAAGTATTTTCTCTTCTTAAAAGGCTCCTAGAGCTGGTAAAAGTAAGGTGCTCATTTAGTTCTAAAACAATCTACAATGAAAAGATTATGATAGGAAGTTTTTTTTCCCAATTTTAATTAAACTTAGTTACGTTTAAACCATTATCATTGTTGAGCATTTGTCCCATGAGGAGCAGTAATTAAAATCGTGACAGTGACAGTGGTGTCTGTGGTCCCTGAGCCAGTGGCTACTTATCTCCATCCACATTCCCTCCTCTCCCTGCTCTTAGCCTCTTCAGAGCAGACTTCACTTCCTGGTTTCTCAGGGTGTAGATGAGGGGATTCAGTAATGGAGTAACAACAGTGTAAAATACAGCAACTGCTCCATCCAAGGGACTCTTGGAGCCTGCCCGAAGGTAGATGAAAATACAGGGGACATAGTAGACTGTGACCACAGTGAGATGGGAGCCACACGTGGAGAAGGCACGCCGCCTCCCATCAGCAGTGCGGATCTTCAGGATGGCATGAACTATGTTGGCATAGGAGAGCAGAATCAGCATAAAGCAACTGGCGGCCACCACCCCAATGTCCACAAAGGTCACAAGTTCATTGACTGTTGTGTCAGCACAGGCCAGTCTCAACACTGCAGGAATGTCACAGATGAAATAATCTATCTGGTTGGGTCCACAGTAGGGCAATCGGAAGGTCAGGGTGACTTGAATAGACCCATGGATAGAGCCAGCCGCCCAAGCTCCAGCCACTAAGATTGTGCATAACTTTCCATTCATGAGCACAGGGTAGCGAAGAGGCTGGCATATTGCCAGGTACCTGTCATAGGCCATCAAAGTGTAGAGGAAGCACTGAGTGCTGCCTAGGAAGTGGAAAAAATAGAGTTGAGCTACACAGCCACCAAATGGGATAGCCTTGCTGGCAGGAGTGAAA